CCCCCCTCCTCAGGATGAGCAGCTCAGTTTGTGTCACCACGATGTGCTCAGGTGAGCCCTGCGGTGAGGAAGGACCAGCAGCTCCTCCCCCCTCCCTCATCTCTGGGCATGACCTTAAGCAGATCCCCCCCCACACACACACACACCCAGTGGGGCTGGGGGTGCTGTGGGGTGGGTGGGGTGTCCTTGGGCAGCTCTGTGTGCCGGTGACGCTGACGGGCTGTAAACACCCAGGTGTGTCCTTAGAAACGCACAATCGGCTCCATGTGTTTCTCGGCCCTTGGGAACGTGTCCTGGTGGCCCCTGGCAGCGTGTCCGGGTGTCACTCCCTGGGACACCTTGGCAGCTGGACCCGTTGCCTCACCTCTGAGCTGTGGGGCACCCCACAGTGCTCAGCCAGCACCCGGAGGTGATGAATCCCACAGGAGAGCTCATGGGGAGCAGCCAGCAGCGCGTGAGCCGGTGCCCAGGGCAGGTCTGACCCCTAAGCAGCCACACGGCTTGGCTCTGCCCCAGGAGAGATGGCGAATCCCCCGGATATAGCAGCCTTGGGCAACCCAGGTGTGGGGCCATACTTGGCTGTGCTGCAGCCCTGCTGCCCGCCGCTGAGGCCAGCACTATTCTGGGCACCCTGAGCTCACGGCCCCTCGGAACGCCGCGCTCCATCCGCGGTGACGCAGGAGAGCAGCTCCATGCCAGCCCTGGCACCCAGCCGACCCCAGGCAGCACCACCCCTCGGCCCCAAGCACTGGGGCTGCCATTTGGCTGCTTCCCTCAGTTGGCATGGGTGCAACCCGGCTCTGCTCAGCCTCAACGCTGGAAACGTGGGCTTCCAGCCCTGCGAGGTTGGGGGGGGCTGCAGGGACCCCTCCTGATGTGGGGTGCGGAGCCCCCGATCCTGACAGCCCCTTTGCAGCTCTGCAGCACCCGGCGTTGGGATCTGTCCCCATCCAATCCACTCCACCAGCTGTTCCTCAGCCACTGCCACATCGGTTGGTAGGCCTTAAATCAGCGTCTCCGGCAGCCAGACGACACCCAGCCTGGTGGTGGTGGTGCTATTATTATTATTATTATTATCGTTATTATTATTATAATTACTGCAAATGCTTAAGCAAGTCGCCAGCTCTGGGCAGGGGAAGGACCTGTGCCTTCAGTCTCCATGGCTGTGTGCTGAGCCCAACTCCTCAGGTGACCCCAGCTTATAGATCAGGGGGGATTTGCCCCCCAGTGCCCATCACTCAGCCCTTGTGGGGTCAGCCCAAGCCAGGGTGGGGCGTCCCAATACCAACCCACTGGGCCCCAGCCACCCCAACCTGCCCTGTGCATCCCACAGCAGGCGGTGACAGTGGGTTCCCACAATGAACAGTGTGGGGGAAGAAGCCTTCTGCCCCACTTTGGGGCGCAGCATCCTCTGCGCCCATCCTACAACCCCCACACGTCCCACCCCACAGCTTCAGGAGGGCTCAGTGCACACACAGTGGGGGCCCAAGGGATGGGTGGGGGGCACCCGCAGGCAGCGCACACATCCCCAGGCACCCACCCTGCCGTGGCAGCGCAACACGTGGGCACAGTGCCGGCTCTGTGTTGGGATCCTGCGGGGCCCAAATGTGTGCCAAGAGCCGGAGGCAACGCCTGGTGTGGGATGGAGGGTGCCCAGGGGGGGGGTGGAGCTCCGTCCCACGGGTGCCCCACGCGCTGACACACAGCACACACTCAGCATGCTGGCATTCCCACCCCTGCGCCTCGCAGTGCCCCGTTTGGAGCCACACCAGGAATGTGGGCAGCTCATCCAGGCGGGGGGCACAGCGCCTGCATCCCCCCCAGCCCCACGGCTGCCCCAACCCAGCCCCCCCCCATGGCACCGCAGACACGGCTGCACCGTGTGGCTCTGGTTGGGGGCTGCCCCACGCCAGATCCCTTGTCTTGGTGTGCTTAGGGCTGCCTCAGCTTCCATACGGATGTGAGGTCACGGCTTTTATTCTGGGAATGAAGGAAGGAAGTCCTGCACTGATCCAGATCCCGCGTGGTGCCGGCACTGCATGGCGAGCATCACCCCAATGATGCATCCCATCTCCGGGACTGTGCCGTGCCCATGTCCCAGCTGAGGGAACCGAGGCTGACGGGGAAGTGACGTGCAGGTCAGTGAGTCAGTGAGGAGCTGAGAAGAGGTGCAGGAATCCAACCCTGGGCCGGACCCACTGCGCTGCATTCCCCAACGCCGCGACGCTGCGGGGCGACGGCTCAGCACAACCCGGCATCACCTGCGGGGAACCGAGGCAGTGCTGGGGAAGTGAGTCACACACACAGCATTGGGCTGTTCCACATGGCTCTGATTAGATAATGGGCGGAAGGATCAGAGGGAGCCCGGCAACCTGTGTTAAACCTTTGTCTCTCCATAGTGCCCAGAGCTCCCAGTGGGGACCTTGGCCCTGAAATGCAGCGCAGGCAGTCCAGGCTGCCATGGGCTGTGGGTGGGATGCAGCACTGCTCGGTGTGGGCACTGCCTGTAGGTTGGGTAAGGGGAGATACGATGTGGGTCAGGCTGAGAGATCAAATTCTATGTGTGTCCAGGAGCAGCGCAGCCCTGCAGAGCCCATCGCATCACCCCCCGGCGCAGGATGGGCTCAGGGTGGTGCACGGCAGGGGATGTTTGGCCCAACAGCCAAACAGAAGCAAAAGAGAAACACAGAGCTGTGCAGGAAAACCTCTGCAGAGCAGGGGCTGAGCGGCACCCATTGCTGGATGAGCTCAAAGCAGAGAGAGTCAGCTCCTGGATGGGATGGGATGGGATGGGATGGGATGGGATGAGACGGGATGGGATGAGACGGGATGGGATAGGATGGGATGAGATGGGGTGGGATGGGATGAGATGCAATGGGATGAGATGGGATGGGATGCAATGGGATGAGATGGGATGGGATGGGGTGGGATGGGATGGGGTGGGATGGGATGAGATGGGGTGGGATGGGGTGGGATGCAATGGGATGAGATGGGATGGGATGGGCACCCAAAGGAGCACAGCCACACATTGCCCCCCACAGCCTGGCCTTGGAGGGGGGGGGCAACTGCCTCCACGGCACAGCTGGGAGAGGGGATGTGGAGGCACTGGGCTGTGACAGTGCTGCTCAGGGGCTGCTCAGGATCCCTCACCCCTCACCGCTGTGTGCACAGACGGCCCCGCAGCACGAGGGGGGAGCAGACGGGGTCAGGCTGAGCAGCTGCCGGGGACGTGCCCGAAGGGGCTGCGGGTGCACAATGCCCCCATTGAGGTGCTGCGGGGGGGGGGGACCCAAGGTGGCAGTGGCAGAAGGGACTCCAGTGTCACGCCAGGCCTCAATCCCCGCTATTTATACCCGGCTCTCCTGCACACAGGCGCCCTTTGAGGCAGCGCGGATGAAAGCACGACGCGGGGGCATTCCTGAGGGCAGCTCCCCGGCCCCCCGACTTCCCCCCCCCCTCATCCCAACCCGGCCCCTGGCAGGCGCCAACCCTCCAGGAAAGGCCCCACCAGCACCAGCAGCTGCGGCTGCTTCCTCCCCATGAGTGGGGGGTGTGGGGCTGGATGTGGGGCTGGATGTGGGGCTGGATGTGGGGCTGGTTGTGGGGCTGGATGTAGGGCTGGATGTGGGGCTGGATGCTGGGCTGGTTGTGGGGCTGGATGTGGGGCTGGTTGTGGGGCTGGATGTGGGGCTGGATGTGGGGCTGGATGCTGGGCTGATTGTGGGGCTGGGTGCAGGGCTGGATGCTGGGCTGGTTGTGGGGCTGGATGTGGGGCTGGATGTGGGGTTGGTTGTGGGTTTGGATGCTGGGCTGATTGTGGGGCTGGTTGCGGGGCTGGATGTGGGGCTGGGTGCAGGGCTGGATGCAGGGCTGGCTGTTGTGTTGGAGGCAGGTCCAGCTGTGAGGCTGCCTGTGGGGCTGCAGCCAGGCACTCACGGGAACCTCCTGACTTTACCCACGGCGAAGCTGCTGGGGGCAGTGAAAACAGGAGCCTGGGGGCTCATCTCCATCACCACCCCCGGCCCCACACAGGGGTCTCACCACGCACACCTGGGCTGAGCCCCCCTGCATTGCAGCACCCTGTTGGTCGCTGCAGCAACCACCCCCAGCTCCGGGCCTATTTTCTGAACCCGGGGCCACCGTGGGAACCTGGCTGGCGGCCACCTCATTCCGCTCGGGTCTCTGGGCCGCCTTTGTGGCCGGCACGGAGCCCAGCTGGCAGCCGCTTCCTCCTGGCCCCCCCTGCCCTGCACGGGTCCTGGTCCTGGGCAGGGGGTGGTGAAGGAGGGGGGCTTCACCGGGACCCCCATAACAGCACTGCACGTCCCAGCCGTGCCTGTTGACCCCTGCGTGTGCCACAGCGTCGGGTTGGCTCTGCCAGCAGCCACCCCAAGCAAGGGCACTGCCCCGCTGATCCCCTGCACGGAGCACAAAGCATCCATCCTCACCTGGGGCTCCTGCACCCATCGCAGTTTTCTCCCTCCGTGCCTCAGTTTTCCCCATGGTAACCCCCAGCTGACCCCCCCCCTTTTTCCCATTGCATGCATCCGGATGGGACTTTCCCTATGCGCGGGGACAGGGCGGTGTGTGTGGGTGGCAGGCAGGGGAAGAGCATTTTCCAACGTTGGAAACCCAAGAGGAAAACAGGCTGCAGGACAGAACGGCACAGGTTAATCATTACAGCAGTGCTCCCCCCCGGAGAAGGAAGTTGTGAGGACGTGGCCTTCAGCCACCCAAGGGCAGCATGGCGCAAGGACGCACGGCGCTCTGCTGCCCTTCCCACACTGCGCTGCCCTCCGGTGCCACGAGGCTCTGATCCGGGGCAAGGAGCTCCGCCCCCCCGCCCCACAGAAGCCCCCAGCCTGGGGCTGCTCCCCCCAGGTGCCCCCAGACCGAGACGTGAGGACAGGCACCGTGGGTTTGCATTTGGGCAGGGCTGGGGGTGGCTCTGCCCCGTGACTCAATGCCACGAGGGGGGGATCCTGGGGCTGCCGCGGGGTTGGGGTGATTTTTTGTTTCCCCTGGAGAGCTCAGATTTTTCCTTTGCATTCACGATCCGGGTGGGACTGTGGAAACGCAGCACGGCACAGCACGGTGGGGGCGCTGGGACCCGACGGCTGTGCCCAGCCCCTCCTGCTAAGTGCTCCCCCAGGAGCAGAGGCGCCGGCAGGGACGCGATGCTCCGCTCCCCACCCTCCATCTGGCAGCAGGAGATGTAAAGTCACAGGCGAAAGCACTGGGTGGAAAGGAAGGACGCAGCCCCGCTCACGCAGCTTTCCAAGCAGCCCATCCCTCCAGCACGCATCGCTGCCCGCCCTGGGAGGGGGGAGGACCCGAGGCAGGCTGTGCCCAGCCTTGGCAATGCTGCTGCCGAGCTTCCCTTGGAGCACAGCACCCCGTGCTGCTGCAGGGCCCCACCGTCTGCAACCCCAACACAGCAGGGAAGGGGCTCTCGCCCCACCTGCGCGGATGGATGCCGCAGGGATGCCGGAATTCTGGCACTGCGGGCTGCGCCGAGCAGCTGAAGCACGCATCTCCGTGCTGGAGAGGAGAGAAGGGGATGAGCACCCATGGGATCGCACTGTAGGGCGCGCATCCCCAGTTCTGCAGCACCAACCACGGGCTGCAGCGCTGCCCCGGGTCTGGAGAGGACCCGCAGTGCTGCCTGCAGCTTCAACCCCTCTGCTGGCATCCAGTTGGGCAACGGGGGAGGGAGGATGAGGTGGGGAGGGCGGAGCAGGGCAGGCGGAGCCCCCCCAGCACTGAACCCCCCCGCGCAGGAGAACAAACGGGCACAGAGGGACACAGCCCCCCATCCCCACCACCCCAGATGTGGGGCAGAGCTGAACCCCCCCCCCAACTACACGTCCCAGCAGGCAGCACGCTGCACCAGGACCCCCCCAAACCCCTCCAAACCCCCTCAATCCCTTTCCAACGGAGCCGGCGGCAGGCAGTGGGAAGAGCTGATGCGAGGATGCTGACGGAGACACTTTTTTTTTTTCCCCATCCTAAAAATAGCAGCCGGCCGTTCCCGGCTTCCCGGCCTCGCCAACGCTCCTCCATCCGATGACAAAACGCAGCCACCTTCCGTCGGAAAGAGAACGGCATCGTAGTGCCGAGGGAGGGCAGAGCGCAACGCAAATAGCAGCCGGCACCGAGGGCAGCGCGGCCGCCCGGCCCCCGTTATTCCCGAGGCGTTTTAATGAGAGCTCGTTCCGGCTTGGAGGTTTTGCTCACGCACAGAGCCAACGTGTGACCTTCATGAGAAAAAGGAAAAGGGAGAAAAGAGGGAAAGGGGAAAGAAAAAGCGAGGGAGCGGCTCGGAAAGTGGGACCGGGTTGATCCTCAAATAGGCTCAGCGTCAGGACTGGGAGGCTTTTAATAAGCTCCTGAGCGAGAAATCTAACACCGCAGGCACTATTTTTGATCACTTGTCGGGGGGGGGGGGGGGGGGGGGGGGGGGGGGGTGGCTGCCGTGCGGACCCTCAGACCCCCCCCTCCCCACCACCACCACCACCACCAGCAGAGGGAACCTGAAATCCCCGCTGGAGGCGTGGGGAGGACGGCGGCGAGCTCACAGCCTCACAGCAGGTGGTGCCGTTGGCAAAACGCGGCTGGTGCGGGGATCCGGCCCTTCACCGAGCCGTGCTGTGCCAGGAAGCAGCTCCTGCCCGGCACGGGGGACACCAGGGCTGCCCCCGAGTGCTGCACAGCCCCAAAGCGAGGGCAGCTTTGGTGGAGCACCACCGACCAACCACCCCCCACACTGCAATGACTGCTCCCACCGCCCGTAGCAGCTGCTTCCCTCTTGCCCCGAGCCCGTCTCCAAGGAGCAGGAGGAGATTTCCCCCTGCTCTGCATGCCACGCACGCAGGGGAAGTGGTGGCAGCCCATAGCAGCAGGGAGAAGGGGCAGAGTTGGGCAGCTGCCGTCCAGCTGCAGGAAGGGCTGTGCAGAAACAACAAGACCCGATGTGGTTCCTGCAGCAACGGAGCCTGGAGGCTGAGCAAAGCTGGGGGAGCTGAGACAGGAAGCCTCCAGTACGGAGCTGCAGTGCCCTGCAGATTCCTCCTCGTGTGCTGCCACAATCTGGAGGCAGCAGAGGGAGGAGAGAGCCACCAAATCTGCCTGCTGAGCCTGGGGTGATTCTCCCCCAGGAATCCCCAGCAGCACCTGAGAACAGATGTGGAGGTAACACTGCACCGGGGGGCTGCACCCTGCAGACCCTGCCCCACACCCAGCTGCCTCCAGGAAGAAGGTGACACGCCACAAGACAGGACTGCATTTCCTTTTAATTGATCGGAGCAGTTTGTCCGCCTCCGTTTGTCCCACACCATCTGTATACCAACGGGGAAGCCAGAACAAGTAGGACAGTCTGGGGTTTTTCTAGAGCGTCAGTGGGATTCCTGCAACACACGGAGGCGGAGTCGGTCTGAATGCAGGGTGAGCAGAGCAGAGCAATGGGTTCAGCCTCGCTGCGAGGAAATGAGAACCACTGGGTGCCCCCTCAGAACCTCGAGGGCCAAAGGGCAGCGGGAGCAGAGATCAGGAGATAGCAGAGCAGCGCTGCCCTGCTGTACCTGCTCCAGGGAGAGGCCAGCTGAGCTGCAGTGACTCACCTGCCAGGCACAGCACAGCGCTGCACGGAGAGCCTCCCAACTGCCAACACGTGGGAAGAAAAGAGATGAGGCACAGCCTTAGCAGGGCACAGAGAAAATGGGCCACGAGGTAAAGCAGCCTCGCCTCACCTCCCCCCGAGACAGAAGCTGTTTGTTTGCAGTGGAAGGGAGTGTTCACAAAGCAGAGGCCGCACCGCTCCCTGCGGGGCCCCAGGAATGCAGCCTGATGCACGGCCAGCCCTGGGGCTGCCCGTCCCAGCGGGGCCCCACTCGTGACCGTGGGCTGTGGGCTGTGCCTGGCCCGGCTCCGGGCTGCCAATGCTGTGGCTGCCACCTAGCGGCCCCGTGCTCCCCGCTTGGGATGCGCCGATGCTTACCCCCGTTACTCCAAGGCTTTGACGAGAGCCTCGTTGGCTTCCACTTTAATCTGGGCTTCGGCTTTAGCAGCTTCGTCGGACGCTGCAGCCATCTCTGAAACGGCCTTCTCCAGGTTTGATTTTGCAGTCTGAACGTGAAGACACAAGAAATGAGTCACTGAGAGAGCAGAGCAGGACTCAATTTTACCCCCTCTCTCCCCACTGCGCTCAGGCTGTGTGTTCACATGCTGGGCTGGCTCCTTGCAGGCGGGCCCTGCTGTGGGAATTGCTGCTCCTGGAGGGGTGAAAAAGGGTGGGGAGGAGCAGGACCACATCTACCCAAGGGCAGGGATGGAGCCTGGGGGAGGAGTAGTGACCACAGGGCTGCATTCAGTGGGGAGGAGCAGCGTTTGATCCCATGCAGTGGGTGATGATGGGGAGTCGGTGATGATGGGGAGTCGGGTCCTGGCAGATGCTGTGCAGCCACACGAAGGCTCTGAGACAGCAACCCCACACAGGAGGAGCGGGGCACGGAACCCTCCATGCAGGAGGCTGGCTGTCAGGCCATCCCGAGCTGCTGTGCAATACTTACAGCCAGATCCAGCATGTCCATCGTCACCGCCTCCTCTGCCAGCACCTGCACCGTGGAGTCTGCATGGACCGTGACGGAGCCACTGCTCACTGTGAGGGATGGCAGCGGGTCAGGGATGCTGCGTGGGTCAGCGTGGGACCCTGATGGCTCCTCAGACAAAACCAGCCCTCAAAGTTCACGAACCACAGCAGCCTTCAGCCTCGCGTCAAGCAAAGCAAAGGCGCAGCAGGGCAACGCCTGGACAAAACCTCATCCCCAAACACAGCCACGGTGCATCCCCTCACCCACAGGGACCCCAGCACTCAGCAGAGCTGCAGCAGGCAGCACCCCACGGCTCAGCTCCCCCCCACCCCGGGGGTCCCAGGGGTGCTCTCCCCAGGGATGCCCTCCCCTCCCCTCGCACCGAAGTATTTGGTGGCCGTTCCGTCCTCTCCGTACACCGTCACCACTCCCGGCTTCAGGACCTGCAGCGTGGGGACGTGGGAGGCCAGGATGCCGAAGGAGCCGGTCAGGGTGGGCACGTCCACCTGCTTCACGTTGGCACCGTTGTAAAACACCTACGGGGGGGGG